TGCCCTATTTGAATAGTGGTACCCCAGATAGCTATGCCATGGAGCCCATTTGTATAACGAAAGACTATGTGAAAGACTTTGGCTCCATGGCGATTGAACTGTATGTATGTGATCTGAACGCCATTCAGTAATAATGTGCGCTCAGATCTAAGCTATCTGGGGATATGTACCTGTTTTATTGAATAGCTGCAGAGTTTTGCCTCTGTCCTTGGAGATAATTGGATTACTTCCCAATTATCTCCAGGATAGAAGACTCTGTGGAACTGCTTTTGGGCAGAAAAGCCATGCTTCATTTAGTCACAAAGGACTTCAATCTATCTTTTGAACCAATGGACCAATTTGGATGATTTTGGCATATGTTTATATATGGAGTATGCTGATTCTGGAAAATGTAAGTTTTATGTGAATGTGATGTATACTTTTAAAGTTATGAATAATGTGGAAAAACTGTATTTCTCTGTCTGTGATAATTACATTACTCATTGTGTAAGGTAATTGTTTCACAGGCAGAGGGGAGGATTTTGTGTGGGAGTGTCTGAGTGTATTGTACGTGTTTATTGGTTGTTTTCCAAAACCCTGTGGGTGGTACTAATGTGTTAGAATGTGTATTTAAGAACAATAAACCCACATCTCTGTCTGTTCTGCTTGACCTCAAAACAAAGTGTTGTCTCGTTATTGGGGGAATTGGATTGTATGCTGATTGCCAGGAGTGTAAACTGATTGTATGCTTTTCCTGTTCAGCTGCTTACAGCATTCATATGCTTGAGAGCATTCATATGCTTCTCCGGTTCGGTGGTTATGGTGTCTGCTGCAGTGCTTGGAGTCCTCAGGAGGTACCCAGTCGGGGTTCCAGGTGATCCATTACAGGTATAATCTCCACTGGTGGATATGTAACTCATTAGGGGTAAGTCTCACAGCATCTAGGTGAATATAAAAAAAGTAAAACATAAAACGCAAACAATAGTGCTTACTGAGTAAAACAAAAAACAGCTAAAAATATAAGTTGCAATTTACTCACATTTAGTAGAGAAGTAACACCACTCAAGAGATATTATAGATTAAAGGAATGTTGCAATCATCATAACCACTAGAGTTCACCCAGTCTAGGTAGTTAAACATTTTAGAATGGTTTGACTTCTTGCTTGCGGTCTGCCTCGAGCCTACTACTGATTGCCTTTCTGATCACAAAGCACCCTGAAAATAATGGACACCTAATTCAGGATTCCTTGGAAAATTCTTTTTTTATTTGTATATTTTTTTTAGTTTGTATGACTATTTCTTTAAGGTACAATAATCATGTTTGGAAATTTGATCACGCACAGCATAAGTGTCATGTCTGTCTACAAAATATTATTGTTTTATAGTTCATGTGTTTGTTCACACAGCATCAGTACAATCCCAAGACTATAAAGTTTCATATGAGTTTATTTGATTTATCATAATCTGCTGAACACAACAATTGGCAAACAGTAAGGGCCGACAGTAAGAATTAGATTTTCACAAACGAGCCAAACATGCAACAGCACATCTGCTGAGAAGACATTTTGTAATAAAAGTGAATTTGTTACACCTGGGCAAGATGGCAGGACATATTGTAAACTGACAAGAAAGTCTTTGACAATATTTTTCGCTCTCATGTCCAGATCATGTGGAATAATAATTTGTAGTAACAGAAAGTTCCCCAGAGGAACATAATGTGTTACATTGTGAAATGGGAAATAACTAATGCAACGCAAGAATTTATTCACTATATAGGGTGGTGACGTATAGTGAAAAATATCAGCAAAAAGAGCAGTTACGAAAACAAGTGTCCAATTTAGATATATATACTTCAATAGAAACATGGAATTTCAAGTCAAACAATACTTCCAAAAGTCTGATAGATGTCATTTTGAGGTAGGACCTAGTCTTTTATCACATCTAAATTAGAGAAGGAAACCATAACTGGCCACTGTATATTTCTCACATGTTTTCTAATTACCAGAATATGCGGCAGGCTTAGCACATTATGGCAGTATTCTATGCCTAAACCTCAATTTGTTTCATTAATTTGTGGTGTTTTATGCAGCTTTGATAGTTCTTTATTTATCCTAATTTAGAATCTTTAGCAAACCTCATGGTTTGCAGAAAAAGTGTGCAAAAGTTGAGCGTTCGCATTCTGAGCCCATAATGATGTTTACAGTATTTTTCACTGAAATAAGGATTGTCACAAACTGAATGTGAATTCCAAAATAGCCAAACTGAAAACATAGTTGGATTTTTTTCTTTTCCAATTCGTCTATTTTTTTCTATAAACTGAAATTCAGTTTTAATTCACTTTGAATTCCCAGCAATTCAAACTGTAATATTTAACCCTGTTAGCACTAGAAGGTTTTTCTGTGTTGCAGAACATCAGCTATTGCATCGTTAGGCATGCTCAAGGTGTGTACAGGGCACTAGGGCCAGGCGGAAAGCACTTCAGCAGCACCCTCAGCATAGCCTTGTAGGTTGTCAGCCTGGCGTGCTTGATGCCAGGATGACCTGCCCCTAAAAGGTCCAAACACTCATCTTGATTCCAAACCTCCCAATGCTGGGCGGTATCTAAATGATGCAGCTTGCTCAGATAGAGCACGGTTCATGCCACAGAATGTTTCCAGGTAGCAATAAGCATTCAAAGCACACAATGTTTAATAATACCCAATGTAAATCACTCACAGCTCAGAACTGTAGGAAATTGTGAGAATTGTTTACCATACTCACTTTTTAAACAATTTTGCCCAGCCATGTGTTCAATCACAGTGCTCCATACTTTGCAGCCTTGCACTTTGCCTGAGGACACACAGTGCCCTACATCTGTGCCATTCAGTCAGTATGCATGTCAAGGGTACCCTGGCAACCACATCGCAAAAAACATAGCAACAACAGTACTTTGCCACAGTAATCAAAATTCACACAGTTAATGGCAAATTTTACTTGAAAATATGAAGCTTGAAAACATAAAGCCTAAATCACATATGAAGAAGTCCACACCAGATAAAAAGGCATGGAAGACAATCTATTGGTTACCAAAAGCACCCTTTAATGTATTGGTAACACAAAAAGTGCCTGTAGCAGAATGGCCCTTTTTTCTCTTTATTTGTTCGGCTGTCTGTACCCCCCCATTCGTTTACAGAATTACCCTTTGTGTGGTCCCTGAGTTTGGCTATTCTAACAACCGACCACCCCTGGCTGTGAACTCCAAAATTGCTCATTAAAAGAGGGTTACCTGGGTGGCTGCCGTTCGTCTATTCGAATACACGTGTGCAAACAAACAGCAGCCCTCTTGTCTCTCGAACGTGGGCAGCGGTACATGGTCGTTGACGGCCTGGATCTGATTTTGGCTACTGAACTCCATGAACACCCTGTGAACTATTACTGCTGCCCAATTCAACTTTCCGAACCAGTAGGAGAACGGCATTCAGGAGATCTAAACTACCGACCAAAGGGAAACATTTGTATACGAACAGCCAGGGGGAGTCGTCATTGCCATTCGCATAAGAACTCCCAAAACGAGACCGGTCCAATGCCTACAATCTAATGGAACTATTTTGGGGCTTCACCTCAGGGTCGACCAGTCTAATTTTCACTCAAATGGTATTCCTAATCTACAGAACGGATTTGAGTGATATTTGGACAGAGTGAGCGGTCAGATCCCTGCTATTCAGTGAAGTAACTTTCATGGTGTTCTGTTGTATAAAAATATATGTTATATGGTTTTGCCATATTGTATATTTTCTGTACCTGGGAGATAATATAATTAAAGAGTGGTCCTTGCTCAATTATCTCCAAGGTACAGAGGAGGAGTCTGGGAAATATTACTTTGTCCCCTATCCACAACAAGGTCCACCAGGGAAAAACCCCTGGAATGTAATTAAAGAATCCCCTTGCATGGGGAGTTGCATAAAAGCCAGCTGTGGCTCAATAAAAAACAGTTGACTCCCAGAAGTGAGTGTCATCCAGTTACTGGGGGGAGTGTGTCTTGGATATTCTATTCAGGGCTCGAGTCCTGCAGGAACGCATGGGAACGGCGTTCCTGCACTTTTTCCATAGCAGGAACGCCGTTCCCGCTAGTGATCCTGCAGAACACCGGCCCTGCTACCTGCACAGAGGGGCCAGCACACGCTGTGTTCCCTCTCCAGCTCTAACTCTCGCGAGACCCGCGGCTGTTACCATGGCAACGCTCCGCACAGGCGAGTCTCGCGAGAGTTAGAGCTGGAGAGGGAACACTGCGTGTGATGGCCCCTCTGTGCAGCGGCTGCCTCCCTCCAGCATACCACCGGACCACCAGGCGATCTCCCCCCTCCCTGACAAGGTAAGAAGCAGGGAGGGGGGATAAATACAAATTATACATAAAGTAAAAAAATGCTTCCCCCCCGCACTCACACACCCATCATCCAGCACTCACACACCCATCATCCAGCACTCACACACCCATCATCCAGCACACACACACACCCATCATCCAGCACACACACACACCCATCATCCAGCACACACACACCCCCATCATCCAGCACACACACACACACATCATCCAGCACACTCACACACATCATCACTCCAGCACACACACACACATCATCCAGCACACACACACCCATCATCCAGCACTCACACATCATCCAGCACTCACTCACACATCATCCAGCACTCACACACACATCATCCAGCACTCACACAAACACCCATCATCCAGCACACACACCCATCATCCAGCACACACACACCCATCATCCATCACTCACACACCCATCATCCAGCACACACCCATCATCCAGCACACACACACAAATCATCCAGCACACACACACCCATCATCCAGCACACACACACACACACACACACACACACACACACACAATCATCCAGCACTCACACACCCATCATCCAGCACCCACACACCCATCATCCAGCACACACACACACACACCCATCATCCAGCACACACACACCCACCAACCACACACACCCACTCCCATCCACAGCACCCACACACCCATCATCCAGCACACACATCATCCAGCACTCACACACCCATCATTCAGCACACACACACATCATCCAGCACTCACACACCCATCATCCATCACTCACTCAAACACACATCATCCAGCACTCACTCACACACACATCATCCAGCACTCACACACACACACATCATCCAGCACTCACACACACACACATCATCCAGCACTCTCACAAACATCATCCAGCACTCACACACACATCATTCAGCACACACACACACACACACACATCATTCAGCACACACACACACATCATCCAGCACTCACACACACATCATCCAGCACTCACACACACACCCATCATCCAGCACTCACACACACGTCATCCAGCACTCACACACACGTCATCCAGCGCACACACACACGTCATCCAGCGCGCACACACACATCATCCAGCACACGCTGCATTCATTATACACACTCTTCACTCACTACAAACACACTACATTCACTATACACCCTCTGCATTCACTATACAGACTCTGCATTCATTATACACATTCTGCACTCACTACACACTACATTCACTATACACACTCTGCATTCACTACAAACACACTACACACACTGCATTCATTGTACACACTCTGCACTCACTACAAACACACTAAATTCATTATACACAATTAATTTGCACTTACTACAAACACACTACATTCATTATACACACTCTGCACTCACTACAAACACACTACATTCACTATACACACTCTGCACTCACTATACACACTGCACTCACTACAAACACACTACATGTATTATACACACTGCACTCACTACAAACACACTACATTTGTTATACACACTGCACTCACTACAAACACACTACATTTGTTATACACACTGCACTCACTACAAATACACTACATTCATTATACACACTCTGCACTCACTAAAAACACACTGCATTCATTATACACACTCTGCACTCACTACAAATACACTACAATTATTATTCACACTGCACTCACTGCAAACACACTACATTCATTATACACACCCTGCACTGCACTATATGCATAGGAGTGTAATTTAAAAAAAAAAAAAAAAATTTTAAGGGGGTGGGGGGGGGGAGGCGGGAATCTTGGGTGAGTTCCCACACCTTTTTCCCCAGGACTTGACCCCTGATTCTATTGCTTCCTCCGCTACAAGGGATCTACAGCGGAGATATTAATGCTGGATGGTAGCATTATAGTGCCTATACTGTCTTAATAATAAATGCATGCTGTGTGGGTGCAATAAATTATAAAAAACATTTTGAATAATCAAAAATATAAAAAAATTATAAAATAGCTTTTTTTTTTCCAGATGTGCATAAAAAAAAACCTCAGTCTAGCAGAAAGGGTTACAGATTTAACATTTCTGATTCAGGGAAAGGTGAATATGTCTATCGCTGAAAGGGTTAAAGAGACAGCAAAATATTTCACGTCATTCAGACCTCTTAATGGCAGAAAGACTCAGATTTCATAAGCTGAATTAACTTCAGGGTGATACGGTTTCCCGCATTGCACCATAATTTAGAGATGTTTGAATGGAATTGTGATTTCAGTAAATGCTCTTCCAAGGATGTGGACGTGGGCGGTGAAAATAAACGTGAAAAAAAACCTTTTGAATTCTTAAGTGGAGTCAGAGGGTTTAAACAGAGGTACGAGTTTATAGAAGACAGTCTGAAAAGAAAGGGTTTGTAAAAGCTGACTTAGCTAAAGGGAGAGTATATGGCTTAGTTTAAAGAATACCATATGGAATGCATAGACAAACGAAACACAATTTGAACAATCATCATAAAAATTAGTAGTGTTAGAAAAAAAAGTTGCAGAAATCCATATTTGCACCTTAAAAATAAAAAAACCAAGATAGCAAATATGGGCCCAGATTTAATATTTTTGGATAAAGCTTTTTAAATGGGTTTATATTTGGGTAAACTTTTAAAGTGATTTTTACTAAACATTAAAATAATAAACTGTATAAAATTATAGAACTATATAATGACGACATATGACCCTCTGAACCCGGAAGTATGATTGAATACACGCAGGAAAAGGTCACATGGAGGTGACATTAATTTTAATTTGAATAAAAAGGAAATGGAATGGATTTTTAATTTAGATACTATAACTCCTATGGGATTAAATGTAGAATTTAAAATTAACCAATTTATATAAGAAATAAGATTTTATTTTATATTTGTTTTCTTAATATATCACCATTAATATTAGCATTTAGTACCTTTTTACTATAAAAAAAAATTTACATAACATTTTTAAAGTATAATATATATCTTTTTAATATCAGCTTATGATCAGGTTTTTTAAATCCACTGCATCTCCTTTCTCACTACCTTATCTTATATTCTAAGAAATCTCCTATATATAGTTTATTTAGATATATCATGTCTGTATTATTCCTGCCTATATAACGACTATGCTACTTTTTTTTACCAGCATTTATGGACTAATTTTCCCTTAAATAATAAAGATTTTATACTTAAGGGCAAGATTTCATCTCTTTCCTATACTTGAGATGGAACCCATATCCTCATGGACTCAAAATCATCATCATGTTGTGACGTCAGACGTAACGGCATTCCTCCGAGCATCATAATACGAATGATGGAAATGACGACATATGACCCTCTGAACCCGGAAGTACGATTGAATACACGCAGGAAAAGGACACAACCTGGATATAAAATGAAAACTGGAACAAGCCGAAATCATGCACTTGAAAAAGACTGACAGAACAGTTGAAACGCGTTGTGCTGTTTGTATAGTGAGTTACTAACAAGTATACTTTTTATTGTTTTTATACCTCCTGTATTATATACCCAATAAATTGATTTGCACTCATCCAAGTTTGGAAGTAATATTCTTGAGGGAAAGCAGGACCTGGGAGCAGTAATCTGGAGGTTTCATTTATTGAAGAGCCCTGAAAGTCTGAGCCTGCTATTAATAGGCTTAGCGCCATGTGAGTTCAACCAGTTGACTTATCTATTCTGTAACTTGTATTACATATTGCGATGATCTGTACTGTATGCTTTACTACAAATACCTAGCGGCTTTAATTTACTGTTCAAGATCCTGCAGTGGTAGTATTTTACTGTATTTTACTGTAGCTCTCACCTATTCATTTTATTTTTTTGACTGAACACTTTTTAATTGTAGTAATAGGCGGCATGTTTCTTAAAATTCAAAAAGACCAAAAAAAGGCCAAAATAATCATCCAAGGTTGCTGTGTCTATCATGTAGAGGGAACTCACCAGCATTTTGGATTTGAACTGCTTTTATGGGGTCTTACATGGAAATGATTTAGGTATTGAGCAAAAACCTTTCTGAGAACTCAGTGGGGACCAACCATAGGGAAAGCTACTGAGATGTCACTAAGCTTTTGCCTGTTTTCATAGTCTCTGTTTTCGCCTCACTGAAAACCACTTTCGGTTTGACTGTTAATATATCCATTTTTTGGGGAAACTCACTGAGCACTAGATACCTACATCAATGAATTCCCTTCCCCCAAACAACACCCTGGGCTAATCTTCATTTTGCATTGCAAAGCAAAATTTTACTCATTAGCCAAGTTAATTTCTCCTTTTCTTCAGCTCTGGTTTGCACCTGCCAATGGATCTATTCTGTCCTTCTGCATCTCTACAAATCAGTGAGAAATACAGTATACTGGGCCAAATTCAAACATACTATGTCAACTTTAAATGCAGCTGTCTCGATTACGAGATTAAGTGACCCAACTTGCAGAGTGTAAATGATAATAGATTTAAAACATTTACCGGTCCTTAGAGTGGCCAGGCTATACGTATAGATAGATGGAGAATAGGCAGAGACAAGTGATGTCAATGACACCAGAAATTAGGGAAGCGAGGTACAATAGCCAAGTCACAGGATAATTGAAAGAAGAATTGTCAGAACAGCCAAGATCAGATAACCATGAATACACAGAGAATACAAAGCACTATAGGGATCCAAAATTAGAACCACAGCAAGGCAATGACCTAAGCCATGGGAACCTTTTTATATTAGGGCTCTCTAAATTTCTAACCACGTCCCCAAAATGTTTGAATTTTGACGTTTTGGCGGGTTGTGACGTCATAAAAAGAGCTGGAGCTACAGCAGCCAGCGTTGGAACCACTGAGGAGAGAAGAAGGACCATGAGGAAGGTCCCCCTTAAAATGGAGGATGTCCCAAGGCTGTTTCCCAGCCTGGGCAACAAATACAGGTACCCTGACAGCAGCTTGCAGGCTGTGTTAGCACTCTTCAACAACCTGCAATGTACCGATGCTTTGCATAACTGTACTTACTGTATGTTGCTTTTGTGCATACATACCAACATTAGTTTTTGATTCCAATAACATTATTGAGCAGCAGTAGAAAATTATTTAAAACATTTTTTTAATATTTATATTTGTTGCACTTGGAGTGTGTAACAAAAATTATATTTCTGCTTCTATGACAATATTTCAATTAAGAGATACCATATAGCTCTAAAACGGTTTATCCCAGCAACCACTTCAATAAGAAATTTTATTTATTTATATATATATATATATATATATTTTTTTTTTTTTAAAGAACATTTTAGTGAAGTGTTTAAGGAAAAAGGTGTCAAAACAAATTAGAACTATGGACTTTCTAAGATAATGTGATCCTATAGATGTGCTTTCGTGTTTATCAAAGCTGAAAAGCACATCGTAACAACATAGCTTGCAGCACTGAGTTAAACATGATTGAAATCAAGAATGAACCAGTACACCTCATGGATCACTAAGCTTTACGAAAAATGATGTATAAATTTACACTAGGGGAAAAAAGCACCTTTGAATGGGGATAAGATAACATTGTACACATATACACAGAGTCAAATGACACTGGCTTTCTACAGCAAGAACAACAAAGATATAGAATTCACTGTGTAGTTAAAGAACTGGCAAAAACCTAGGCAGAAGTTAACCCTATATTGTTATTTTTATACGCAGATAAAGCATAAAAAATTTACAAAAAAAGTTCTAAAATATTAGTTTGTGTGTAGCAATCTTCAAACCAGCTGCTCAACCATGAATGCAGCCATGACGTAGGCTCCCTGCCAAGGCCCATTGGACCTGGTGCTGACAATTACGATGGAATTAATTACAGAATCTTATCGACAGAAAACACCTATACAGTCATAGCTCCCAAGCGACATGTATCTGGTGGAGGTGGTGCTGGAGTTAAAATCACAGAATTCAGCTATAAGAAAACACACACCCTATGCTAATCTCTCAATTTCATCTTTCAAGTAAATCCGTAACCCCTAACAGCACCGTCCATTGAAGCAAGACATCCGTGGGTGGGGTAAAATGGTCATTGACATGAATCACATATTCATCACCGCCATGTCAATACATGTCAGTGTGGCCAACTAAACTCAGTCAAATCATAGCAGGCAACATACAGTGACTTATTATAACATAATTACATATTTATAAATGGGTGGGGAAGACCATAATTAACACAAAATGTCTCTCCTGCACGCAGAATTAGCGATATGCAAATCTACCCGAATATGCAAATTACCAGTCTTGCTATTCAGGTAGTGCATATTACTGTTGCTACCAACAGAGGGCACTACACAAGCTCCATAGCCAAATCCACCTAGTTGGTAGCAATCCTCAGCAGTACAGGAGAGCAGGCAATACATCCCAGGGGCCATAGTCACATGGCAGTAGGCTGGCAATCAGTCCTCTCCAGGCACAAGTGGCAATGTTAATTTCGCCACACATCTTCCCTTTGGGGGGAAGACTAAACAGGTACCTGACCTTCTGTCAGTCAGTACCTAGGTTAGTCGGGCAGCCCACCCACAAAGAAAAATCAGCAGAGTAGCCCCCCCACAATAAACGGTACTGGCCTATAGGTCCCAGGTTGTAGCAGGACAGTTCAGCATCCTCTGTCTCCCTGGTGCAGCTAAGCAAACAGCTGTGGCTACTTGGGTGGCAGATGCCAGCTCTTCCACTGGGATAGCCTGCAGGGTGTCAGGCTCTGGGCAAGGTACAAGGGTAGGGCAGAGGCCAGCGGCGCTCTGCTCAGGTGCCAGCTCTTCTGCTGGGAGGGGGTCAGTGGGAATCGCAGGCTCATCCACTGCCCCCAGGACCCGGTCGGGATGTAGCTGGGGAGGGGGAGGCTTGCTTACCTCCTCCTCCTGGCATCCCTGCGGGGAAGGTTGGGGATCTGGACCGCCCGTCCAGCATCTCCGTAGGACCGGCACAGAGACTGCGGTCCCATCTGCGCCAGTGTGGTTAGGGTTGTTCTCCCCCTCTCCCGGTATCTCCGGCTGCGGTGGGAGAGGGAGACAGGTTGCCCCCACTCCCCAGGACGCTGGTTGCTGTACGGTGAAGGGATCAACCATCACCTCCTCCTGGAACTCAGGCCGCCGCTGGGAAGGGAGACCTGTTGTCTCCTCTCCCGGTGAGAGCAGGGCCGGCGCGTCCATAAGGCGGCACAGGCGGCCGCCTTAGGGCGCACCGGCTCCGGGGGCGCAAGATTTCAGTGACCGGCAGGAGGGAGGAGGGAAGCTCTCCCTCCTGCCCGGCCACCATCTCGACCCCCGGCGCGGTGTGTGGCAGTGCTGTGATCAGACGCGGCGAGGGAGCTCTAACCTCTCTGCTCTGCTCCCTCGCGCGCTGTCTGCTGATTCCGCGGGAGCCGGAATATGACGTCATCAGTAGGCAGCCCGCGAGGGAGCAGAGGGTGGAGATTAGAGCTCCCTCGCCTCGTCTGATCACAGCACTGCCGCACTGGACCCCAGGGAATGATTCATCATCCACACCAGCTCTCCAGGTAGGGAGGCTGGGTGGAAAATGTTTATTTATTAAAATAATTAGTGAGTGTGTCTGTGAGTGACTGTCTGTGATTGAGTGTGTGTGTGTCTGTGTGTGAGTGTCTGTGTGCCTGTGAGTGACTGTCTGTGATTGAGTGTGTGTGTCTGTGTGTGAGTGTATGTGTGCCTGAGTGCCTGTGTGCCTGTGAGTGACTGTCTGTGATTGAGTGTGTGTGTGTGTGTCTGTGTGTGAGTGTATGTGTGCCTGAGTGTCTGTGTGCCTGTGAGTGACTGAGTGTGTGCATGAGTATGTGTGTCTGTGAGTGAGTGTGTCTGTGAGTGCTTGTATGAGTACTGCATGTGAGTGTATGAGTGTGGCAGTGTATGTGTTTGTGAGTGTCTGTCAAATCAGTGAGAGTATCTTTGTCATTGAGTCTGTGTGTGAGTATCAGTGTGTCTGTCAATGAATGAGTGTGTGTCAGATCAGTGAGTCTGTGTGTTTGTCATTGAGTGTGTGTGACTGTCAGTGTGTATACACCACTGAGTGTAGCGTGGTGGAACGCAGTACAGGAGCTTCTGTTTCCTGTACCCGGCCAGACTGACCGGAGGTGCTCACTGAGAGAGCACTCCCTGTCAGTCCGGCCAGGTACAGAAAATTGAAGCTCCTGTAGGGGATATCCTCCACTCGGCAACGCTACAAGAGAGGTAGGAGGCATACCGGGAAGGGGAGTGCGACCACTAAAGGGGTGGGGGGTGCACCAAGGGACAGGGAGGGGAGGGGAGAGAAACACCAAGGGACAGGAAAAAGAGGGGAGAGCTTAGAAGAACACTAAGGGACAGGGAAGGGAGGGGACCACTAATGGACGGGGAGAGGGGCTGGTTAAGAGGCACATAGGTGAAGATGTTATTGGGCGGGGGGGGGGGAGAAGATACCAACCAACAGAGGGCACTACACAAGCTTCATAGCCAAATCCACCTAGTTGGTAGCAATCCTCAGGGGCCATAGTCACATGGCAGGAGGCTGGTAATCAGTCCTCTCCAGACACAAGTGGTGATGTTAATTTCACCACACTATGCACACAGTGCCCTGAGCTTGGGGCAATTGTGTCTAATGATGCTCTTGCTCTACTCTTTCTGGGGAATGTCCCGAACACTCACTTGTGCACTCCTCTCATTACCTTCTTACTAGCAGGCAGAGGTTCCTGGCATGCAGTGTGAGACAGAGAAAAGTGGATGAAATGAATGTAGAAGAAAGAGAACATGCTACAGTGTGAGAGAGATCGAAGCAGCAAGAGTATTTGCGCAGTGTGCAAAGTCAGCTTTATCTTAAATAATATCATTGTCAGCCAGTCCACACTAGTTTTGCTCCCCAACATCCCTCTTAAGATTCCATACTTAATTCCCTCAGTACAAAGGACCATGTGAAGAGTAGAATCAATGGGCTTTTTTCATGGGCATGGACCAGGAGCTTCAGGTCCATCAGGTCCATCAGCCTCTATGTTAATCCGGCCATGCTACCAAGGTTGGAGAATGGTCTGTTCTAGCAGTGGTTTCAAAACCAGTCCTCAAGGCACGGCTACCAGTCCAGGATTTAATTGTGTCATGATGTTTTGTTTTTTTCTAAAAATACCTTAGGCAAAACTGGGTAGTACCTAAATTCTGGACTCATAAGGGTGCCTTGAGGGCTGGTTTGGAAATCACTGCATTAAACGCAGGCTCTATGGATGGTAAATTTCGAATTTCTTCTAATTTCACATTAAATGTTTCATCCGAAGTAAACATTTTCACCATGCACAACTCTACTGTTGATGCAATAAGAAGACATCTGGATTTGATGATACTTAGAAATTAATTTAATTGAGATTTTTAATTATTGTTATCTTTTTTTTTCTTAGAAGAAGCAATGATGTGTATAGCATTAGACATGATGTACTCTTCAACGTAAATTACAGTTTTACAAAATTACTTTTCCCGTGTATTTTCTACTTTGTGTTAACATTTTATTCATCTTGCAAGTCTATTTCCTTGCTTTATTTTTCTTAAATTTCTACAATGTTCATTTGTGTTTTCCTGCAATTTGCTTTACAATCTTTTGGCTGGACACCTTATCATTTAACCATAGGTCACTTTATAATCACTGTACTTGGCAAAACTCATGGAAAGTTACTTAGAATTACTTAAGATCAAGCAGTCTGAGGCCTTTTGCTGCACCACATGCTCTATCTGAAAAGAAAACTCGGGTTTTTTACGAATTAATCTTTAACTAAACTTTACATATATTCTGTTCTCTGGTTTTCCCTTTTAAAAGGAAAATACATTTAAAAATCTATGTATACATGGGAAATATTTTGTATATTATATAAATTCAAATTTCCATCCTTCCCCCTAAGAGGTAGACTATCATTTTGCATTCAATATATAAAAAAATATACATATTTGAAATAGACAAAAATTCATAACCCTCTACCGTGAGCCCACTTTATAACATAAATAGTAATAATTATCTGTTTCATGGATACCTCTGTGATACAGTATATGTTGTGTCCTGAGCACTGTTGCAACGGGTTTGAGGTCCTTTCAGCCTGCTATGGTGTGGGCTGATAGGTCAGAGGACATCTGAATAATAAGAATATGTTCTGGTAGTCTGCTAGTTAGTCTTGCTGCTGGAAGTAGTTGTTGCATGCAATGGCATTTTTGGAGCCTTTGATGAGGCAGTTCTCCTTCATGGTAATATACATTCTAGAACAATATTCTAAAAGTCAACAAGTAGTGATGTCCCGAACGGTTCGCCGAACGGTTTGCCACGTACGGTTCGCCGCGGACTCATCATTGACCCTGTAGCTCACAGTCAGCAGGCACATTCCAGCCAATCAGCAGCAGACCCTCCCTCCCAGACCCTCCCACCTCCTGGACAGCTCACTAAGAATGCAGCTTCACAATGAATGTAAAATGGATGCTGTCCAGGAGGTGGGAGGGTCTGGGAGGGAGGGTCTGCTGCTGATTGGCTGGAATGTGTCTGCTAACTGTGAGGTACAGGGTCAAAGTTTACTCAATGATGAGTCCGTGGCGAACCGTTCGTGGCGAACCGTTCGGGACATCACTATCAACAAGTACTATAGAAACTGATGTGATGTATCCACAGATTGCGCCATTTTTAGACTGTCAGCTGAGAATTCCTATAGATACATAAAGCCCAATATTTTAGTACTCATGTGGCTGTGCGCTTTAGGATGTATAATGCAGATCTAAAATGTTTATAGCAATAAACACCAGTGGTGTTAGACGATGGCCCATCTCTTGTTAAAGTGAAGACATTATTTCCCACAATTCTTTGTCAACCAAATTTAAAGCAATAACAGCTGAACTGGAAAATATCTCCAAGACATTTATGCTCCCAGTTTAGTTACTTTGGCCATAAACATATAATTCACTTTGAATTTACTTTGAATGCCCAATCATTCTCACTATAGTAAAAAAATAAAAATAATAATAATTCCTGTTTGTGCCTTTTTTTCAGTAAATACGAGTGAAATGTTTTTACTTCTAATGTATTTCATTAGACTCATGGCACCCATAATTCCTCTTAACAGACTGGGTCAATTATTATATCTTTCAGTAGCACTGCAAGGTGGTAAAAAGACCTGTGACTTTGCTACTAAGGTATATATTATGGTTCCTCCCCCTTGTATATGTTTGCAATTCAAAACTCTGCCTCTTGTATATCAATCCCTTAAGGACCCAGGCTTTTTTCTGATGCAACGCGTTTGTCACCAAGGCTTTTTTGCCAATTTTGCCATTCATTCATTATACTACAATCATTTTTTAAAAGAAGAAATATGGATTTCTTTTGATATCTTGTATATACGTAACACTATTAAATAAGTATAAAAGATTTAACAAAATGAAAAATTTATTTTAAAAAAAAACATTTTTTTCTCAGTTTAACATTTAATAATTTCTACACACCAAGTGCAGATAAAGAAAACTGCTCAAACTAGTTCCCTAATTAGTCATGATGGTTAAAATGGCTAATTTGTTTAAGATTTTAATACATTGTTAGAAGTTACAAAACATATACTGCAAGGAGTGAATTACGGGTTTAAAGTTAAAACTTTGCAAAATTTGGTATGTTGAGATTACAACCTTTATAAGAGTCACAGAATCCAAAACCGCTACACAAATTATATATTTGTTTTTCCCACACAGGTTTTATTTTGGGAACATTCACAGACCACACATGTCACCATGCGGCAAGCACTCAATATTCTGCTACTGTTCTTGAGTAAACTGATACCCACGTATACATCTTTTTACAGTATTTATATGGAAAACCAGCATTGAGCCTGGTACAGCATTTACTGATGTACTCAAATGGTTCAAGAATGGTGGATGGAAAAATACTTAAGTTGTGCAGATTTGAGGAGATTGTTCTAGTAAGGGCTAGGGAAAAAAGATGAACCTTTGTCAGTTAAAAATTGTAACCACACCATGGTTTATTATAGTTAGAACCAGTGGTCGGATTCAGCCGGTTTGCACCGGTTCATGCAAACCTTTTGCTAAAATTTAACAAGTTTGCCAAACCAGTGCAGACCAGGAGAGCATAGAATCAGTTGTGCCTTACAACTTTAAATGCAGCCTTCAGAAGCGTTCGCAGGACTGTGCCTCTTCTGGCACAGACCTGCTTTTGCTCCTGTGCGCTGTTTCCAGCGCGAGTGGGGGGCGGGAATGACCTCTCCAGCTTTGCGTGTTGGTAAGGAGCAGCCGGGGACAGACCATGCCACCCCAGTAAGTGAATATTACTAATCTGAGGTGGTCTGATGGGTGCTCTGAAGGTTGGCTCGGAAGTTGAGGGTTAAGGAAAAGGTGCCCTGCGAGTTGGGGCTTCCCATTTGTTTAGATTTTACAGAGACTGTTAGCTTTGTAGTTTCAGACTCATTACTATCAGGCAGGGAGTTACTCTGTGTGTAAGAGACTGTGTGTGTGTCAGTGTGTGTGTGTGTTTGTGTGTGTAAAACCAGTGTGTGTGTTTAAGAGCCAATTAGTGAGTTTGTGTGTGGGCATAGGAGCCAGGGAGTGTGCGTTTGAGCCAGTGTGTGTGTGTACGAGCCAATGTTTTAGCCAGTGACACAAAGTGGTTAAGAGACCACAACATTGGGATAAAGACACAAAAGCATTAAAAGAATGACAAATAGGGGATACAATATGCAAAAAGGGAAAAGAGAAAGAAAAAGAAAGTGGCAAGATGCACAAAAAGGATGGGAAAAAGGGGGATATTAGCCAGACAGGTCAAGACAAAATTTGTGGTTGTCAACATATTTCTTTGTTTGGGTAGATAAAATCCTTGCACTGGCTCTGCATGCCCCCCTGCCGCCTCATGTCACCCTCACGCCCTGCCACCCCATTTCCCCCTCACACACACCCTGCCGCCCCGTGTCCCCCTCACACACACCCTGCCGCCCCATGTTCCCCTCACGGAAACTCTGCCGCCCCTTGTCCCCTTCACACACACTCTGCTGCCCCTTGTCCCCCTCACACACACTCTGCCGCCCCTTGTCCCCCTCACACACACCCTGCCGCCCCGTGTTCCCCTCACACATACCCTGCCGGCCCGTGTCCCACTCACACACACCTTGCCGCCCCGTGTCCCCCTCACACACAGCCTGCCGCCCCATGTCCCCCTCACAGACACCCTGCCGCCCCATGTCTCCCTCACACACACTCTGCCGCCCAGTGTCCCCCTCACATACAAATGTGATATTCAGGATTTATGCATTTACTGCTCATTGTAAAAACAAAGAAAACGTTACCTGCGCTCTGGCCTATATCCCCATGTGCGTTTAAACAGAAATGGAGGCTCTTTGGTTTTATTCTAATGGCCATTTGAATATGTAAGCTCACCTGCCACGTCAAGGCAAGCCTCAATAGGTGAGTTCCTACACTAGCCATTAGATATGCCGATATCAGCCATGAGTCTCCAATGAGACAGGAAGGGGTATTTTATAAACCCTTTAACATTTAACCCTTTATAGGGCTTCTGCACATACAATAAACTTTGCTGATATCAGACAAAGTGAGACAGAAAGGGGTGTTTTATAAACCCTTTAACATTTAACCCTTTATAGGGCTTCTACACATTCAATAAACTTTGCTGGTATCAGACAAAGTATAGACGTCTCTAATGAGACATGAAAGGGTGTTTTATAAACCCCTACATACTTTACCCTAAATAGGGCTATAACATACAAATCACCTTGCTGGTATCAGCTAAAAGGCAAATTTCTCTAATGAGACAGGAAGGGGTGCTGCCCCTACATACTTATAGAGTCTTAATAAGACAAACGTGGGAAGGCTGGCAGCAATGTAACATAGCTGAGTGATACAAAATTCATATACAAACACAAAGATAAAGCACCGCGCTTACAGCAGCAGTGGCTTAGTATCCAACAGCTTAAAATACATAGTAAAAACAAAGAAAACGTTACCTGCGCTCTGGCCTAAATCCCCATGTGCGTTTAAACAGAAATGGAGGCTCTTTGGTTTTATTCTAATGGCCATTTGAATATGTAAGCTCACCTGCCACGTCAAGGCAAGCCTCAATAGGTGAGTTCCTACACTAGCCATTAGATATGCCGATATCAGCCATGAGTCTCCAATGAGACAGGAAGGGGTATTTTATAAACCCTTTAACATTTAACCCTTTATAGGGCTTCTGCACATACAATAAACTTTGCTGATATCAGACAAAGTGAGACAGAAAGGGGTGTTTTATTTTTGTTTTATTTACTGCTCATTGTCATGATATACAAAGTCTATGCATTTACTTATTATTGGCATGGTATACCTAGTTTATGTATTTATTGCTTCATGAGCATGATATACTAAGTTTACGCATTTACTTTTTATTGGCATGGAATATTAAGTTTATATATGTATTGCTAATTGTCATGGTATACCTAATTAATGTATGTACTGATCATTGGCATGGTATACAAGGTTTATATGATTACTGATCATTGGCATGGTATACAAGATTTATACGTTTACTGACCATTAGCATGGTATACAAGGTTTATACGTGTACTGATCATTGGCATGGTATACAAGGTTTATACGTTTACTGATCATTGGCATGGTATACAAGGTTTACAGTTTACTGATCATTGGCATGGTATACAAGGTATACGTTTATTGATCATTGGTTTGGTATACAAGGTTTATAAGTTTACTGATCATTGGCATGGTATAAAAGGTTTACACTTAACTGATCATTGGCATAGTGTGCAAGGTTTATCCGTCTATTGATCAATAGCATGGTATACAAGGTTTATACGTTTACTGATCATTGGCATGGTATACAAGGTTTATACGTTTACTGATCATTGGCATGGTATACAAGGTTTACAGTTTACTGATCATTGGCATAGTATGCAAGGTTTATACATTTATTGATCAATAGCATGGTATACAAGGTTTATACGTGTACTGATCATTGGCATGGTATACAAGGTTTACAGTTTACTGATCATTGGCATAGTATACAAGGTTTATACATTTATTGATCAATAGCATTGTATACAAGGTTTATACGTTTACTGATCATTGGCATGGTAAACAAGGTTTATACATTTACTGATCATTGGCATGGTATACTAGGTTTATACGTTTACTGATCATTGGCATTGTATACAAGGTTTACAGTTTACTGATCATTGGCATGGTATACAAGGTTTATACGTGTACTGATCATTGGCATGGTATACAAGGTTTATACGTGTACTGATCATTGGCATGGTATACTAGGTTTATACGTTTACTGATCATTGGCATTGTATACAAGGTTTACAGTTAACTGATCATTGGCATAGTGTGCAAGGTTTATCCGTCTATTGATCAATAGCATGGTATACAAGGTTTATACGTTTACTGATCATTGGCATGGTATACAAGGTTTATACGTTTACTGATCATTGGCATGGTATACAAGGTTTACAGTTTACTGATCATTGGCATAGTATGCAAG